CTCTGTGCCAAAATGTGCATGAAAATGTTAGAATTTGGCTTTCTGTGTTCAAACCCCATGGGAGAAGGGGGTAGAGGATTGGAGCCTGGAGTAGGATGTGGGTGTGAGACATCCTGCTCCTGGGTGAGGCAGGAGTCTTCCTTGCTGTGGCTGCCTAAGGAGAGCTCTGCTCTCTGCCCTGGAGTGGCTGGTGGGGCAGGGAATGGCAGCCTGGTGTTTCTGAGCTGCTGTGCTTACAGCAGCATGTGTAGGAAGATAATTGTAAGAGCTCCTCCAGACTTAGCAAAGGCAACTGAGTAGTAACCAGAATAATGAAAATGATGTCACTGACTCTCAGGATGCCTACTCTGTGAGTGGAAACCTGCAGGGGACACAAGAGCACAGGTTGGAGGCCAGGGCTGACTCATCTGTTAACTCAGTTTCAAGTGGAAGAAATAAGGCTTAAAGCTTAAACAGGGACACGCTCCAGTTTTGGTTTAACTAAATCTTGGAAAAATCATTGCCCCACATGCATTTCTGTGGATCCAGACCCTGCAGATCCTATTGCAATGTGGTGCTGGATGATGATGCAATTTGTGCCTGGGGTAGGATCTGCTCTCTGGTATGCTAAAAAACCCCTCACTTCTGTGGTGTCAATGCACACCTGGTGTGATGGGCAGAACTGGCTCTCATTTCCAAAGGACTGACCCTGGGTGGGCCTGCAGGATGAGGCTTTGAGCCTTCAGTGGTGTTTGTGCTGTTCAGCTGCTGTGTGTGGGGAGGGCAGGGCTGGAGCAGAACTTTGCTTTGGAGGAGCAGAGGAAGAAGGGCTTCCTGCAAAGGCTGGACCCCAGGGAGCATGGACCTGACTCCAGCAGTGCTCAGGGATGGTGAGAGGTACTGAGGTGGCACCCTGATGGCTTTTCTGGTATGTTTGTCCTCAGTACTCCTGAAGTGCCTCTGCAAGCACCACTCTGTGCACTGCCACACTGGGACAACAGGAATGATGCTTTCTATAGCCAAGGCAGCTCTACTGGTAGAAAGATGGGAGAAGAGCAATGATTGTGTCCTATATGATCATAGGAACTGTTTCCCAAAGGACATATGGATAGGGACAAAGGCTCTCAGAGCTAGTATTCTCTCCCATGCCCTTCTGCAATTGTAGTCTACATCTCTTAGCAAAGTTTTTTTTCCCCAGTGGTGCAGCGAGTTCCCTGTTCAGTGCAGATTCTGGAGCTGGAGGAGCCCTTCACTGGGAGAATGCAGCTCTAGATGAGACATCCTTTCCCCTTTACGTCTCTCCTGTGGTTGTGTTTCCTTTTTGCTGCCCCTCCCCAGCCCCACATCGGGGATGGAGCCAGTGGAAAGGCTGTGTGGGTTTGGCTGTGCTGCTTTGCTAAGAAGAGGTGAGCAGGGCAGGGCACTGCTGTGTGGTCCCTGCAGCTGGCAGGAGGATTTGGGAGAAGCAGAGTTTAGGGCTGGGAACATCCGTACCTGCCACGTGGCTCCTCTCCCACCGGTGAGTCTGTTGAATGAAATGCATTCAATTAGCAGCTCAGGAGGGCTGAGGAAACAGGATTAGTCAGGCTCTGGCTGTGTCCCAGGGGCCAGTGAGTCACCCCACTTTCCCTCCTCCCCACCCTGCAGACTCCATCTGTGTGCTCCATCACGGCTGAAGTTTTCTCCTGGGCAGGTTTAGCTGTGCAGAGACTTCAGGTGGAGAGGGATGTCCAGGGAAGGATGTCACCAGCTGGGCTCCAGGGACCTCAGTTCCAGGGATGGCTTGGCAGAGCTGTGACTGGGGGAAGGCAGGAGTTTATTTTGCTGCCTGTGGGGACACAGGGAGGTGGGGAGTGGAACAGAGGTAACTGAGAAGGGTGAGCTGGGGACTGAAAACTGCCACGACCAGCCAAGGAGAGCTTTGTCACTAGGAGGGAAAGTAGGAGTAAAAGTAACTGGACCATCTGCCCTTTTGTGGGAGTTTATCAGGAGCAGAGCTGTGACATGTGGCTTCACTTGCACCTCTGAGGACAATGAGGGGAAGAGGAGGGGCTGGAGAGTGAACCCATCTGTCGCCCTGCTGTCTGACAAGGCAGCTCACAAACACATGGGATAAGTGCTGGCAAAATGAGCAGAGGAAATTTGTCTCCTCAAGCATAGTAGGCTGTTGATCTGAAAAAACAGATTGAATAGCTTTTCTATCACCCTTTGGTTTTGAGGGTGTTTTTCTCCTGTTTTTTCAGCTGGATTTCCCTTTGATTTCTCCCAAGATAGAAAATGGGCTGTGTATGGGACAGGACTGCTGGGAAATGAGCTGCCTTATCTCTGTGCCCTTTTCACGGTGCCTCTCGCCTCTTGGGCAGCCCTCACAGCACTCCAGGCTCTCCATCCCTGCACCAGTAGCTGCTGTGCCCTTCCCTACTTTGCAATTCCCTTTATTCAGGCTCTGCCCTTGGTAACCAAGGCACTGAGACAGGAGATCACATAATAAATACAAAGAGCAGAGGGACAAAGAGGTAAAGCTGAACACAAACCAGAATGTCAATGGACTCTGACTGAATAAAGCCAGCTCTGAAAAAGTTGGAAAAGGGATAGGATGTTTGGGGGAGGTCACACCAAGGTGCACAGAGACTGTTTAGCTCCTGGAAGGCCTTGCCTTATTGTCTAGGTAGAGTGACACCTCTAAAGGCATTTGATCAGTAGGTTTGCTCCTAAGGACAGACTTCTGTTCATCTTGCCCTGTGCTTTGGGGTATTTTTGTCATGTTCCCAAAATCAAAATTATTTTGGGAAGCTGACAGAAGTTATATGCTGGCAGTGTTCTTTGCTAGTTTGCTTCTTGTCTGTGCCTTTCTTTCCAGCCTCTCCATACATACACAGGCGTCCACATCCTTGTCTTCTCAGGGAGTATTTGTCACACTTTCATGGATGTACATGGAAAGGGAAGGACCCCACAGCCAATATTTAAACATTTGGACTAGGAAATCCCTTCAGGACAGACAGGAGAAACGTGAAGGAATGGAAACCATGAGCCTTTGCAGGGTAGTGGGAAGGGTCACAGGCTTCTCCTGGGACATTGGCTAAATGGAAGCCTTCTCCATAGTGTTGGGACCAGTCCCTCCAGTATGGCTTTCCCCCTCACACAGGTGAGATCTAAAGCACTTCAAGCTGGGAAGTGCCTGTGCTGTGGTCAGTGCTGGACTGGTGTGTTGACTTCCGTGTGATGAGATCTGGGAAAGGTCTGCCCCACAAAACCCCTTCTGAGTGCTGGGGTGGTCTCCCTTCTTGGGTAGCCCACTTGCCCCTGTGGGTTTTAGCACATGGCTTGGCCACAGCGGTCAGATCGACTCACTTCAGATGGGAACAGACTCCTTCATCCATAAACACCTTTACTGTGTAAGCAAGATAATATCTTCAACGTACTGCTCTCTGAGAGAGCCCTGATAACTCAGGCTGTTTTCACTTCTCATACTTTCCTTATGGCTGGCACTAGAGGAAGAAACACCCACCCAGTCATTACCACCTCCTTTCCCAGAAAAGTGTGCCAGTTCTTCCCTTCCCTGCCTCACTGGGAGAAAGGTAACACAATAGCTTCCCTTGTCCCGAGGGCAAGTCTGGCTGGCACAGCACACATCCTCCTCGACCTTCGCTCCATCCGAGCCCTTCAGGGAGAGTACTGACCAAAGAGCAAAGCAGCTCCATGAAAAACAGCAGGTGAAAATTCCTGGCAGTTAAAAACGGAGCAAAGACTTTTGAGCCATAAAGCTTGAAAGTTCTGCAGGTGTCTGGCTTTGTTGGCTGGAGAAATGCAGGCAAAACATCCACAAGATAATCTCAGTCACGGTCTGGATGTGCTGGTTTTGACAGAGCCTGGAAGAAAAGACAGAGAGACCCTGTCCTGAGGTTTGTACAGTGACTCAGAAAGCAACGTGCTGCTGCATCTGATGGTGTCAGAGGTGCTGGTGCTGCACACCTGACTGCTTTGATCACCAGAGGTGAGTGAATGGCTGTGTGCTCTCTACAGGGTGTAGGCTGAAATACTGGCTCTGCTTGAACACAGTACAAGTGTGATGTGGCTGCATTAGGTGCCCCTGTGAGTGTGTGTGTGTGTGGCTCAGGACATCCTGTGCAGGTGACACAGTTTTGCTTTGGAGCTGAATACGGGTGAAATTCTGTTCTCAGCATATCGTGGGTGGCTGGTGGCGTGAAACCCTAAGTGTGGTAGAACAAATTCCTTTGGACTGTTTGATCTTTTTAATTCTTTAAATTAAATCCATCTACAGTAACCAGTCCCTCCATGTCTGACAAAGTGCTGAACAATGCCTGCGTGGTCCCTGTGGAGCCCGGCACAGGCTGTCGGTGTAATCCCCGCTTTGAGCTGATCTCTGCTGTCTTTTCTCTACTTTATAAAGAGCAGAGTTACTTCCTAACCTCCGACCGTTAAAGCTGCATCTACAACACACAGACATTTAATTTTCCCTCTTTTAACTTTGTGTAAAGCATTTGTTATTTTTGAGGAAGCTGCATAAGCAACTCTGCTTCCCCTGAGCTGCTTTTTCACAGCTTCTTGCTCTACAGATTGTGATTTTTAGTCCTGCTTAAAACCCTCTGCTGGGGGTTCCCCAATGGCCATGTAGACTGTGAGGCACAAGAGCAGCATGAAGAACTAGCGCTGTGAAAATCTGCTCATTGGCATGAAAAACCACAAAGCTGGTGTTAGCAGCAGCAGTTTTGAGAATTCTTTGCAGTCCCTTGAAGCAGTGTGATTGTTATGTGTCTTATTTTGCTTGAAATATTTAGGATTAGCATCAAAATGAGCCAGTTCTTGAAGTGTTTTTGTTGCCAAACATTACAGCCCACTGGAGGCAGATGGGGCTGGACTGAAAAGCCAAGCAACAGGGCTGGGTGAGCCTTCTGTCCCCAAGATTTCTCTGCTGTGCACTCCTAGGATATCAGCACAGCCAGCAAATTCTGCAGATTACTTATTAAAAAAATAAATATATGACATTGTGGTTCAAAGGTTCAAGTTTTGAATGAAGAAGCTCTATGTTGACAAGCTGCTTAGGAACCCTGGTCAGGCCAAGAGGTGAGGACTTGTTGGGCAGTGTTGATAGAGGTTTTACTCTTCTAAGGTGAATATTCCCCCTGGAAATTCTCTTTCTCTCCTTTCTCTCTTTTCCATTCATCCTCTTTGGGGGCCCAATGGTGGCAAAGTCCTCCTGAGCAGGGTGAAAAGCGGCAGCACACAGCATCTCATAGGCCGGGAGCAGTTCAGGGACAGAGTGATGGAAAAGAGAGGCACCTGCATTTTGGAGGTGGAAGTTTGTAGTCCATAGGCATCTCCAAGACCTGGCTGAAGCTGCTGCTCCTCCATCAAATCACAGATCCAGAGGCTTTCTGCTGCCCTCCCTTCAGAGTGCCCTAGTGGACAGCCACAGTCACCGGCAGTGAGCGTGGGGAAAAGTCCTCCTGAAACTGAGTCTGCTGGGTGGATTCTGGCGCCAGCTTCAGGCACACACTGGCCTCTGTCATGCTGTTGTTGTTGGCAGAGCTGCTGTTGCGACAGGGCTCTTTGGCAGGGCGAATGGCCACCAAGAACTGGCGCTTGAAGGTCTCGCTGAGGGCGATGTAGAGGAAGGGGTTGAGGCAGCTGTTGGCGTAGCCCAAGCTAATGGCGAAGTTGTAGGCATAAAAGAAGGCCATGGATGGGGTGTCAATGCCCAGGTGGACAAGCTGGAGGATGTAGAAAGGAGCCCAGCAAATAAAAAAGGCGGAACAGATGGCGACTGCCATCCGGGTGACCTTCTTCGTACGCACCCGGAGACTCCTCTGCGGCAGCGGGACCACGGTGGTGGCCATGTGCTGGAGGATCTTGAAATAGACCACGCAGATGATGACCAAGGGCACAGCAAAGGCCAGCATGAACTGGTAGAGGGTGAACCAGTAGATGTCGGTCTCTGGGTTGGGGAGCAGGAGAGCACAGCGCACAGTCCCGTCCTCCAGGGGCATGAGGCCTGCGTACATCCACACGGGAATGATGGTGAGGAAGGACAGGAGCCACACCAGGCAGATGACGAGAGCCGCGACGCACGGCGTCCGAACGTAGGTGGATTTGAGGGGGTAGACGGTGGCCAGGTAGCGGTCCAGTGTCATCACTGTGAGGATGTTGGTGCTGGTGATCTGGCTGTTTGTGTCCAGGGCGGTGATGATGGTGCACAGGGGAGCTCCAAAGTACCACGAGCCATTGCCCAAGAGCTGGTGGATGAGGAAGGGCATGCCCAAGAGGAAGAGGAGGTCCACGATGGAGAGGTTGAAGATGAAAATATCAGGCACGGTCTGTTTGCATCTCAGCTTCTTCTTCTTGACGATAGTGAAGATCACAATGAGGTTCCCCATGATGCCCAGGAAGCAGATGATGCTGAAGAGACTGGGCATGATCACGTTGGTGTGTGGTGCTGGCTTCTCTGCTACTGCCAAAACAAACCAAAGCAGTGAGTGCAATCCAGAGACAATCTCTTTACAACTCAGTGTGCTTGTCCTGTCCTGCAGATGGACCCATCCCCATCAAAAACATAGATTGGAATGATTTTTAATACCCTTTCCAACACTTGGAGAGGCTAACCTTGGGATTTGGCAGTTCCTTCTCTGCCTCTCAGTATGTGCAGCGTGCCCAAACCTGGTTATGTGCAGGGATCTTTCCTCAGCTCTCCTGATGTGCTTCTGTCCTGCTCTGCAACTCCCCAGCCCTTTTTTGAGGGACTAACCTCTGTCTGGTGTGCCTCTGCATTCACCAGCACCTGACAGAATTGAGAGTAACTTTTATTCCATGGAGTGAAGTGTTTTTAGCTGTTTTTGAGGGGAGTGGGTGAGGCAGCTTGTTCTTCCTACACTGGAGAAGTAAAGCCTTTCTGTGGGTGCCAAAATCTGGATAAAGTCAATGCTCAAGCGGCTGTCAGAAAGCTCCAGTTCATCTGTTGGGTAGTTTATCTATTGTATGGTATGAGATGCAGAGTTCATTGACCATGCAGGCAGATAGGTCATGCTTATCTGCATTCTGAGATCTAGGACTGTACCCTGGCTGTGTCCCTGTTCTCTTATCAAGGTTAGGCCAGAGAATGTTCTCCTTTCTGTCTTGCTTCTCTGCCTCTCTCCCTTTCTCTAGTTTCTTTCCTGCAAAGAAATCCAAGTATGTAGCCAGACAAAGATGGGGAGTATGTTTCAGAGGGGCCCTTCAGCAGGGATTGTCCTAGGAGAAAAACAGTTTAAAGTTGTCTTGGAGTTCTGGATGTGGGTGGATTTCCAAGGCAAAATTCTTGCCTGATAACACTTAGCTTGTCCACACCAATGCTTGGCTGTTGCTCTTTGGGGTGGGACCCCCCAAAATAATCAAATTCACATTGGCCTTGTCCCTCACCTGGGTGTAAAATCACGTTCTGAAGCCACAAGCTCTTGGGCACAGGAGGTGGTGTCGAAGGCAGTGATGGTGGTGCTCTCTGTTCTGCAGGGCTCCCGTGTACTGAAGCCTAAAACAGCCCTTCTTAGCTGAGGAAAATCTCATTTCATCTCATTACTCCTCTCTTATGAGACCTGGTGGGGTTTTTTCTAGGAAATTGTTTTGTGTGAGTTATTTATGTGGCTGTTAGAAGGACTGTTTGTGGCAGCCCCTCAGCCTAGGCTGCCTTTCACTGAATTGCAGATGATTCAATGTGCTGCTAATTGGAAATGCTTTCAGTCACTGAATTGTTCCCTCTCCTTAGCAGCAGAAGTGGGGAAGCCTCCTCCAACAGAACCTAGGGAAATCTTTAAAATTAGATTAAGTGGAATAACAGATACTTACAGGTGTAGTCTTTGCCAAAGCAGTGTCTGTTTACTGAAGTGGTATTTGCTGACTTTGACCTCTGGAATTCTTGAGTACAAACTCCTCCACATTTACTTTGGTGTGACAGAGAAGTTTGACGGAATTAGCAAGATAACTGGGGCTACACTGCTGGCCTGTGGCTAGAAATCAGTGCCATATTTCAGTGCTCTCAGAAGGGGGTCATGATAAGCTGCTGCTGGCTCAGTCCTTTTGGCATTAGGAAGCAGCCAGTTTAGGCATGAACAAGTCCAAGGCCAATGTCAGGACCCAATAAAGCAGTTCCTGCACCATTTTACTGGGAAGCTTCTCTTCAGGTTTTCAGTTTCCCACTGGAAAGCAGCCAATGAGGCATAGGAGAACTATCAGGGGCCCAAAGGTGGAAGCCAGGCCTGGCTGATAAGAAAAAAAAAAGCCTTGTCCAGACCATTTGTGGGGGTTTAAGTGGTCCCTGTTCCTCCTGGTGACCCATTAATGCAAGGAAATGTCCCCTGTTATGTGATTTTTAGTGGATAACCTACAGCCATCAGCATCCTCTTGAAATTTGACATTTGAGCATACAAAGATATCTCAAGCCTCCTTAGTGCTGGAAGGTGGAGGACTAGAAAATGGAAGATGATAGTTCTGGTCCTGCTGTTCTGCATGGAGCTGTTATGAGTTCTGATCTCCTTACATTTAACCACAAAGTTTATGAGTCTGGTGGGGAAAGATTGTACATAAATGCCACATGATTAGCTGGAAATTGGGATAAAATATCCCTTTCCTGCTGTGTAATCAATACTGTGCTCATGGCGATCCCATAACATTTGGAATGAGCTCAGCCAGCCAGGATTTGTGCAGGCCCAAAGGCTTTGTGTGAGAGGTGGGCTGTGCAGTGCTGTAGCACCTGTCCTGCTGATGCTGTCTGTACAAGCAGGACTTGCACAAATTATCAGCTGCACTAATTTGAAGCTGTAGTTCATGTGTGTTTTATAGGCTGGAGTCAGAAGAGCACATCTATCAAATACTCAAAAGTTCTGTCTTTTCTAAAGTCTCTTTCATCTTGAGACATCATTGAATCTGAATTTTCAGCGCTGCTTTGGTGCATATCCAAGTGAATATATTTTGTATTTAAGCAGCTACTTCAGACATTGATTTGTCCTTATTGGTAGGTCTGGGCTGCCCTGATAGTTTTTCTTAAAGTCTCAAAGGGGCTACATTATGTGAACTGAATGAGGACTGGGCTATTTTTTTTTTCTCTAAGGTGGCTGTCATTCTAAGCCATCCCCTGATATGTGAGAGATTTCATCCTCACTGCATTTCAGAGGGAAGTACCCAAGGCACACTTTTGGGTTCTAAATAACTGTGCTGGTGCAGATAGAGTCAAAAACCACGTATAAACCACTTTCTATTGAAGAGTTTCACCAACTTGAACCATGAGAACTGTATTGCCCGACCCTAAACTATTGATTTGAAAACAGGGTCGTATGGAGAAAACGGGAGACTGGTAAGGATCCCTCCCTCTCCAGCGCTAGCTCATCTTTTCTGCGCTTCCCTCCCTGTCTAGCCGGGCTGGTTCCTCCCTTCCCAGTGGAGTTTGCTGCCCGGCATCCAACAGGTAGCGGCTGGCTCGGAGCTGTGCGGTGCCCGGAGTGGTGCCCGGAGTGATTCCCGGAGCGGTGCCCGGTGCCCGGAGTGATTCCCAGAGCAGTGCCCGGAATGGTGCCGGGAGTGGTGCCAGGAGCGGTGCCCGGAGCGGTGCCTGGTGCCCGGTGCCCGGGGCGGTGCCCGGAGCGGTGCCTGGAGTGATTCCTGGAGCGGTGCCCGGAGTGATTCCCGGAGCGGTGCCCGGAGCGGTGCCCGGTGCCCGGAGCGGTGCCTGGTGCCCGGTGCCCGGGGCGGTGCCGGGAGCGGTGCCCGGTGCCGGGAGCAGTGCCCGGTGCCCGGTGCCCGGAGCGGTGCCGGGAGCGGTGCTCGGTGCCCGGTGCCCGGAGCAGTGCCGGGAGCGGTGCCCGGTGCCTGGTGCCCGGAGCGGTGCCGGGAGTGGTGCCCGGTGCCCGGGGCGGTGCCCGGAGCGGTGCCCGGAGTGATTCCTGGAGCGGTGCCCGGAGCAGTGCCCGGAGCAGTGCCGGGAGCAGTGCCCGGTGCCGGGAGCGGTGCCCGGTGCCCGGAGCGGTGCCCGGGGCGATGCCCGGTGCCCGGAGCTGTGCCCGGTGCCCGGTGCCCGGAGCGGTGCCCGGAGCGGTGCCGGGAGCGGTGCCGGGAGCGGTGCCCGGTGCCCGGAGCGGTGCCCGGTGCCCGGAGCGGTGCCGGGAGCGGTGCCCGGTGCCCGGTGCCGGGAGCGGTGCCCGGTGCCCGGTGCCCGGAGCGGTGCCCGGGGCGATGCCGCAGCCCCGGGGCGCTCCGCCCGTCCCCCGCCCGCCCGGCGCTGTCCGCCCGCGGGTGCTGAAGGCGGCACGGCCCGAGCGGGGCGCGGGGGGTCCCCGCCGCATCCCCCCATCACCCCCAGCCCCTCGGAGCCCCGCGCAGCCCCGCTCACCTGAGCCGTTCCGAGCCTCCGGCACCGAGAAGTTGCGGGAAGAGTTGCCGGGAGCCATGGCAGAGAGTGCCGGGAGCCGGGACGGAGAAAGTTGGACAAGTTCCCTGGGCGGCTCCGCGGTGGGATGAGGGGGACGGAGCCGTCCCAGAGCCGGCGAGCGGCGGCTGAGGCTCGGCTGAGCTCGGTTCCGCCGCCGCCCCGCCGAGCCCGAGCAGGTTCTGACATCAAGGAGCAGCTGACTCGGGCAGACACGCCAGGGGCGAGCATCCCTCGCCGCCGCCGGTGGGAGGGAACGCGGGCGCGGAGCGGGGACACGGGGGCTGGGCAGTGCCCTTCGCATCACACCCCGAGGGCATGGCTGAGCCCTCCCGGGCACAGCCAGCCTGCGCTCGCCAGCATCGGGAGGATCACATTGAGGGGCTTTTTTGCCTTTTAAGTAGCTCTGGTCTGCCTTCGGTGTGTATTTTTCTCCTTACAGACACATGCACTTTTCGTCCCCGAGTCATAGGCACAGCCCCTGTGGGGCTGAAGGATGCTAAGGAAGCAAATTGCCCACTGAAAACTGTTGCTTTCACCCTCTGATGCCTCTAACTCCAATTCTAACCGGAGACACTCCACTTGTAATTAATTCTCTGCTGTTTTCTGCTGTTCTGCTTCTTGCCACAGCTTATTTGTTTTCTAGCTCCAGGAATTAGCTCTGTTGCTAGCTCAGATTTTATTTGTCTTCCATTTGCCTTCAAAATACTAGGTGAGGACTCCCTTGGGTTTTGAGAAACTATTTTACCCCTTTTCTTTGCCTTGCCAGAGCTGTAGCCTGTGCTTTTCTGTGGCTTTGAGCTGATGATTGTCTTGTGCTCCGGGCCACTGTTTATACATGAGATGGATTCCTCCATTACAGTTTGATAAATCACATGTTACCAAGGCAAACAGATCGTTCTGTACCTCGGAGCACTTCCTGGACTGAAAAAAAAAAAAAAAAAATTATATCATGTCAGAAGCCTGTAAGAAATCCAGCAGCAACAGGCAGGGTTTTCTCTGTGGCAGAGCACAGTACAGTGGATACGGTTTGCTTTATAAAAATGACATATGTCTTTCTGGAAATCTCCCTTGCTTCTCTCTCTTTCTTTCTTTCTGTAGTTGCAAACGCTAGCACCAACTGCAGGAGAAATTTTTTGGAGCTTCATAATTCTGTAGGAATAATCAATCTGTACCAGTAAAAGGGAGTCCCAGCACACACAGAGCAGCAATCCCAGCATGGCCTGCCAGCCAGATTTGGCAGCAGCAGTTTCAGTATGGGCCATTTTTGTGTAACCCAAAGGAGTTCATCATTATTAGGTTGTCCTCTAGTGGACCAGCAGCAGACAGAAACCTGGTGCACATTTTTCCATGACATTGAAGCTCTTAGAAATCAGAGACAGGATGAGGCAAATTGGTCTGCTCTGCTGTAAAGTTTTTGTTGAGTCTCTGGAGTTACCTCAGTCAATGATTTGCTGGTGAATTTTTTTCCATGGCAGGTATCTGTGGTATCTAAGTTTTGAACATGTACAGCTTGTTGAAAAGTGGTGTTTCTCAGTTAATATTTTCTTTAAAAATGGTTTCCTTCACATCTTGGGTGAATGTGAAGTGTTCATATGTATGGGGTTACTGCTGCAAAGCAAGCAGTGGTTTGTGTGTGGGTGTTGGAGTGTTGTGAACCAATATTCTGTCTGCTGTCCTCTGCAGAGAGTGCCTTCAAATAATTTAGTTTTATCCAGGCTTGAAGTATGGATTAGGAGTGTTTGCATAGGAAACTGGTAGGCAGTTGCTATTGCAAACATTTTCCCTGCATAGACAACCTCCTACTCACTTTCCTACTCACTTTCCCTGGAGAAGAATGTGCTGTCTTATAGCTTTCAAAGGAAGAATCTGACATTTAAATATAGTAGTTGTTCTAAAGCACAACTTTAGTTTTACTTTCCAATCTCAGCTATTGCTGTTCACTTAGAAAAGCCTCACACATGAGGAAGCTGTAATTCCTTCTTCTCAGCTGTAGAGGCATAAAAACCCACAGCAGCTCTGTCCCTGACGTGAAAAAGCCATGCTCAGCATTTGAGATCTGCCTCACCCCCATTTCTGTCACTGTTTTATTACTGGGCCTTTACATTCAGGCTTTAACAAGGTTTGTTTTTCCCCTTTTTTTTGCTTTGCCAATAATCTGGAAGTTCTTGCCCCAGGGAGGGAGTGGTTGTGCAGAGTTTTGCCGAGTTGGAAGGGAAGAAAGAAGGGAGGAATATTAACTGCAGCAACTGGTGATGCGCAGCCTGTCTGTGCACAGAGCTCGCCGTCAGCAGCAGGAGCAGGCTCAGTAATCGGCTCATTATCTGCCTGAACACTTGGAGACAGCAGCTCTCTGAAGGACTGGTTCTGTGAGTGTTCATCTACTGGAAACTGCAGCAGGGATGAGCTCTCAGGGGACCTTGGGATGTAGCCGATGAGTTGTACTAACCACTGCATGTAATTACAAGGAAGATTGAGGCACTAACCCCTTGAAAACACTTCTTAAGAGAGAGATATAGTAATTAACATTTAGACAGGGAACTGCCATCTCGACAGCCTAATGATGTAGATAAAAGTGAGGAAATGGAGCTCAGCCCTTGAACATAAAAGAAGGAAAAATTATTTCTTCGTACAAGCTTGGCATCACCACTACACTCAGACCATCCTGTCTGCAACATCACTGTTATGAAGAAAGATAGTAATCATCCAAAGCTGCTGCTAGGCAAATTCTGCAACCAGGGAATGAATCTGGCTGGCCTAACAGTGGTTTAACCCTGAAAGTAATGAGTTCTATTTCCTGTGCCTGTCCCAGCTGGAGATCCTGACTTATGCAACACGAGTGGAACCGCAGCATCCCGTGGGGCAGAGAGCAGCACCGGCTTCTGTTACCGTGCTACTGAAACCATTTCCCCAGCTGGTTTCACCAAATAATTTATCGTTAAATGGAGACTTTCTCATTTGCTAAATATTTATTTAGCACCTGGCTGCTGCTCTGATTTACACTCTGGAGAGAGGAGCTTTTGCTAAGAGCCAAGTTGCAAATCCTCCCCTTGCACTCACTGCTCTCCTTACTCATGAGCCCAGACTTACAGAATGGGCCTCTGCAGTTTTATAGCTTAGCTCTAAATATAATAATCAGTATAATCTTTGTGATTATATGATCAAGTAGCCTTATGTGTGAAGTTTTGTCTTTGTAGTGGCCTTAGGGATAGGGATGATCTCACTCAGGATGTGTTAGACATGGTGCATCATCCCTCTATGCTGGCTGAGTGCTGTCTTTGTCTGATAGCTGCAGATCAGTCTACCTTCTTTCCAGATAAGATTGGTAAAGCAGTTTCCAACTGCTATTCCATTAAATCTCCTTTGATCCTAGAAAGTGGGTCTTTGCCACATAACATTTTCTTTCTCTGTAGATGAGAAGTGATAGCAAACTTAAATAATTTCCCTAAAGCCACATGCTGAGCTTGAGGTCAAAAACTGACAGCAATTCTCTCTACAACAGTCCTGGTTTAGGCAGCATCTTATCCATCCTCCTGCAATATCTATCTCAGCACAACTTTTGTATTTTCACAGAGGGATGTGTACTGGATGTAATGATCTGATTAAAAAACGAAACACAGAAAACTCAAACATTTGGAGGAGTATGTTTGTGAAGGCAGCTTGGTGGTGACTTAGGTGCTGCTGTCATTGATCCAGATGTGCACAGCTGTATGTATGGTCTGGCAGGTTGGAAAGAGCTGGTGTTACATTGGTGCCTTACTTGATTCAGGTTGGTGCTACTGTGTGATCCAGTTCTGCCCTGAGCTGCTATTAATGACCAAGGAGCCTGAGCCATGAGCAAACTCCTGATTTCCCAGCTCCCAGGCTCTGCTTTCTCTTAAGACATGAGCATCTCTAATGAAAGCAGCAGGTGAATTCCCTTTCTCAGCTGCTCAATAGCCACATGTGGCTTTACAGGAATTCTTCAGCTAAACGGTCATCTAAACTCTTCTGTTATCTGTGCTGGATTTCTAATTAATTAACACAAAGTGGGCATTTATCTGAAACCTCCTCTCTCCCTGCTGGTTCCTGCCCTTGAAATGACAGGTCCAAGCTGCCTGGCTCCTTCCAGTCCCACACTGCTAATTTGAGGTTTAAGCCCTCAGCCTTTGCCCATCCCACTGCTCTCAGCGAGCCAAAGGCCAGGGCAGCACCTTCTGTGGTTTTGTTTTCATTGCTAAAGGTTAGAGGATCCCAGAGACAAAGGTGCAGCCAAAAATAACAAGGGGCTAAGCAGGACTTGCCCTGTGAGAGGCTGTCGGGCTCCAGGGATGTGCTGAGGTCACAATGTGGATTTGTGCTGGGTGAAAAGAAGCTGCCAGCACATCTTGAGTTGGACAGGAACAGCCAGGAGCCCTCAGGGAGACAAATCCTGCCTCAGGGCATGTATTTGTTGTTAGTCACTGATTCCCTTTTACAAGAACAGGCATTAACACAAGGAGAAGGCAGCTGTAACCTGAATTCCTCGTGAGTCTGAACTGGGGGGGGGAGGAAGTTTTGGCTTGGATCTGTGGCTTGTGGATAACTATTCATGGAGCTCAAGAGGAGACAGAACAAGAGGATTGATGTGGAGGGTTGATGACCAAGAATTGGTGTCTGCCCAACCCAAAATGAGTGCTGTGCCATCCTTCTTTTCAATGAGAATTAGGATGTTGTTAAGCTTGGAAATGGAAATGGAAATTACAGATCCAAGATGAAGCAAAAGGGAAAATCCTGAGAGGTTCAAGTCAGGGAAACTAGATAAACTCCATTCAAAGTCTGGAAAGAGCTGTCACATGAAATTGCAAATCCAAGTGTAAGGATTTATGACAGAGCTAATAAAAAAAGTGTTTTATAACCAGAGACTGCAATTCTGCTGCCTAGTTCTGAGAAGGGGCAGGAGGGGAAGAAAGCAGTAATAGTTGATTTTTTAAATCTACCTGAAGTCCAGTAAAACATTTGATACAGCATGTCACAGGAAATTTTTAGTTTGCAGAAGATGTGAAAAAGCACAAAAATCCGTAAAATTAATAAGGCATTAAATGCCAAGTGAGACTGAAGCCTTGTGTCAAGGGGGTTGTTAGCAGTGGTAGCATGGGATGGGAAACCCTCCTGACACAAACCTGCAGGCCCCAGGAAAAGCTCTGCTCACCTCAGCAGCTGGGTTGCTGGAGCAGCCAGATGTTCCTTTCCTCTCCACTTCCCCTAAGGGAAACCAACCATATGTTCCCTGTGCCTCTGCAGGGCACTGAGGCATCTGCTGGGGTTGGAGGCAATGGCTCAGGGCAGTGGAAGAGGTGGGAACCTTTTAAAATGATAA